TTGCATCACAGGTCCCCGAACAAGGCCTAAGAGCCCTGCTGGGTAATACAGATGCATCAATCAGCCAGAGCGACTAGTTTGCGCCTAGGGGTGTCACACGAATGCTGCCGAAACTACACATCGTCCCCAACTCTGGTCAGATGCCAGGCCGGGTACTACAGATGCAGCTCACGCAACATTCTGTCCAACTCATGCATTGACCCGTGGACCTTGCTCCATACTACCTGACTATCTCACACCAAGGCCACGATGCACCCGAGAGAGATCACGCGAGAGCTGCCATGACAGCAGGCCTGCACCGCGAGAGAGAACCCGAGAACAGTCTTTGCATCACAGGTCCCCGAACAAGGCCTAAGAGCCCTGCTGGGTAATACAGATGCATCAATCAGCCAGAACGACTAGTTTGCGCCTAGGGGTGTCACACGAATGCTGCCGAAACTACACATCGTCCCCAACTCTGGTCAGATGCCAGGCCGGGTACTACAGGTGTAGCTCACGCAACATTCCGTCCAACTCATGCATTGACCCGTGGACCTTGCTCCACACTTCTGACTATCTCACACCAAGGCCACGATGCACCCGAGAGAGATCACGCGAGAGCTGCCATGACAGCAGGCCTGCACCACGAGAGAGAACCCGAGAACAGTCTTTGCATCACAGGTCCCCGAACAAGGCCTAAGAGCCCTGCTGGGTAATACAGATGCATCAAGCAGCCAGAACGACTAGTTTGCGCCTAGGGGTGTCACACGAATGCTGCCGAAACTACACATCGTCCCCAACTCTGGTCAGATGCCAGGCCGGGTACTGCAGATGTAGCTCACGCAACATTCTGTCCAACTCATGCATTGACCCGTGGACCTTGCTCCTTACTACCTGACTATCTCACACCAAGGCCACGATGCACCCAAGAGAGATCACGCGAGAGCTGCCATGACAGCAGGCCTGCACCGCGAGAGAGAACCCGAGAACAGTCTTTGCATCACAGGTCCCCGAACAAGGCCTAAGAGCCCTGCTGGGTAATACAGATGCATCAATCAGCCAGAACGACTAGTTTGCGCCTAGGGGTGTCACACGAATGCTGCTGAAACTACACATCGTCCCCAACTCTGGTCAGATGCCAGGCCGGGTACTGCAGATGTAGCTCACGCAACATTCTGTCCAACTCATGCATTGACCCGTGGCCCTTGCTCCATACTACCTGACTATCTCACACCAAGGCCACGATGCACCCAAGAGAGATCACGCGAGAGCTGCCATGACAGCAGGCCTGCACCGCGAGAGAGAACCCGAGAACAGTCTTTGCATCACAGGTCCCCGAACAAGGCCTGAGAGCCCTGCTGGGTAATACAGATGCATCAAGCAGCCAGAACGACTAGTTTGCGCCTAGGGGTGTCACACGCATGCTGCCGAAACTACACAGCATCGTCCCCAACTCTGGTCAGTCAGATGCCAGGCTGGGCAATACAGATGTAGCTCACGCAACATCCTGCCCAACTCATGCATTGACCCGTGGACCTTGCTCCACACTTCATGACACTCTCACACCAAGGCCACGATGCACCCAAGAGAGATCACGCGAGAGCTGCCATGACAGCAGGCCTGCACCGCGAGAGAGAACCTGAGGACAGTCTCTGCATCACAGGTCCCCGAACAAGGCCAAGTACCGGGCCAGGCTGGGTGTGAATCGATGCTCCGTCTGTTGCCAGAAAGTCGGTTGTGAGATTGCCAACAGAGGTGCCTCAAAAAAAGGGGGAGAAGGAAAGCAAGGACGAGGAAGCATAGTCTCTTTGTAGAAAAGCCAGAATAGGATTCACCGACTTGTTTTTCTGAGCCCCCTAACCCTTCATGCCTAGGCAAGGAACTCTGAACACCCCAAACCCTCTGAACCCTAAACCCTAAATCCTAAACCCTAAACCCTAAACCCTAAACCTCCAAAACCTCAACTCTGAGCCCTCCGCGTCAGCAAAGGGCCTCCATGGTAGTGGCCGTGTCCATGGTCCAGATACTCACCTTCCCGTGGCGGCGGGCCATCGCAGTTCCTGACAAAAAGCAGTTTTCCTAGCACCACGCACATGCCCGACACGCTCAAGCCCCCCTCCCCCCCCCTTTCCCCCGGCCAAACCCCACTCCACCCCCCCACCCCCCGCAACAGCAAAATCGGACTTAGGGACCTCAGCGTTTACCATACCATGAGGCGAGTTCGAGGAGCGGGCGTTTCGTCATTACCACAACCCCTCACTGTTCAAAGGGCGGCTCCCTCATCAGGCCCAAAGACCCGAATAACCACGCAACACGTGCCGAAACCAAGCAGAGAAAGTCACCCTAAACCCGAAACCCTCCAATCCTAAACAGAACTAATACCCTAAATCCCTTCACCCGAAACCCTCAACCCTCAACCCTCAACCCTCAACCCTAAACCCTAAACCCTAAACAGAGTAACTGAGGGCTTTGTTTTGGTAACTTTTTTTCGGCTGGAGGCCCGGACTCAGATTGGCCGTGCCGAGCTGGGTCTGACACTTCAGGGCTCTCGGGTTCTTTCGGGTTTTGAGGTCGGGGGTTATAGGGTTTGCAAAGGGTTTTAAGGGGTTTGTGGGGCTTAAAGGGTTAAAAGGGTTTTAAGGGTTTTAAGGGGTTTAAGGGGTTTATAAAGGGTTTAAAGTCTTTATAGGAGTGATAGGGCTCTTGGGCTCTTAGGGTTTTGAGGGCTTGTACAGCTTAAAGGGTTTATAGGCTTTCTAGGGTTTTAAAGGTTTACAGGGTTTCTAGGTTTAGAGGGTTTAGAAGGTTTATAGGGTTTATAGGGTTTACAGGGTTTATAGGGTTTATAGGGTTTATAGAGTTTATGGTTTATGGGTTTATAGGGTTTGTAGGGTTTGTAGGGTTTAGGGTCTGGGGTTTAAGGGGTTCAGGGTTTCGGGTTTAGGGTTCAGGGCTGTTTGGAGCACAGATGTACAGGGGAGGGTTACGGGCTCTAAACCCTAAACCCTAAACCCTAAACCCTAAACCCTAAACCCGAAACCCTAAACCCTAAACCTGGCCCCAGCTCGGCATGGGACTGCTTATGCTCTCGTGAAGCAGTGGCGGAGATGGCTGCTTGATGCTTATCACAGTTGGGGTTTAGGGTTTGGGGCACACTGAACCCGAAATTAGGGTTTAGGGTCTAGGGTTTAGGGTTTGGGGCTTAGGGGCTGGGGCGCACTGAACCCTAAAACTGGCTTTGGGGTAGTTTCTCCGCCCGCGAGTTTCATACAGCGCACTCCTCGCATCCATGCACCGCGCCCCCAAAAGAACCGAAAGGGCTTTGTTCTTGGTTTAGGGCCAACAGCTTAGGGTTCAGGATGTTTCAAGGGTTCTATAGTGATGCTTCGAGGGTCCACTTTACACACAAAACCCTGAACCCAAACCCCACAACCCCTAAAGACCTCAGAGAGGTTAACGGCAGTGGTGAAGGGTTGAGGAAAACAACCGGCATAGGGTCTAGGTGTAGAGCCCAAAACCCTAAACCCTAAACCCTAAACCCTAAACCCTAAACCCTAAACCCTATCTACAATTGAAGAGCTTCGGAAGGCCGATGACGTCATGCACGGGCGCTCTCAGCTTTTTGTTCAGGCTTTGGGCCACTTAGGGTTTAGGGTTCAGGGTTGAGGGTTGAGGGTTTAGGGTTTAGGGTTTAGGGTTTAGGGTTTAGGGTTTCGGGTTTAGGGGTTTAGGGTTTAGGGTCTAGGGTTTAGGGTTTAGGCTGTACTCCAGTTTGACTGAGGGAGCGAAAGGCCGGCTATACAGAAGGTCCAGGGATACTTCGCAACCCTCGCCTGAAATGACTGAACCCTAGATCCTCAACGATTGGCCCTCTGCAAAACGTTCTTCACAGTCCCCCTTCACCCCGACAAAGGGAAAATACAAATATCCCCAAGGCCGACCGCGAAACCGGGCCTGAACAATTAGAATAGGGCTTTGGGGGAGGGGGGGGGGGAGGGGGAGGGGTGATTAAGGTATAAGTATAAACGGACTTTAGGGGAATACTATTCGTGATTATTCCGACCCCTTTCATTAGGGACTTTAAGGGAATACTATTCGTAATTATTCCGACCCCTCTGGTGAAGCCGCTCAGGTGGCGGTGACGCTGGCCGAGATGATCGGCCGCTCGTCCTCGCCCTCGTCGCTTGCCGCGAAGCGGACGACCAGAGCCATCTCCCGGGAAGTCATGCAGTGGGCCTGCCTTGGTTGGCGGGCTTTTTAGGGTTTAGGGTTTAGGGTTTAGGGTTTAGGGTTTAGGGTTTAGGGTTTAGGGTTTAGGGTTAGGGTTAAGGGTTTAGGGTTTAGGGTTTATGGTTTAGGGTTCAGGGTTTAGGGTTTAGGGTTTGAAGGAAGGTTGGGATGTTCCCCCTTATACTCTGTCAGTCCTTAATAGCCAAAAAACCATCAGCCCAAAAACAGCTAAACATTGAACCTCTAAAACCCCCAACGCCGAAACCCTCTAAACTCCAAACCCCTACACTCAAACCCTAAACCCTAAACCCTAAACCCTAAACCCTAAACCCTAAACCCTAAACCCTAAACCCCTAGGCCTTAAACCCCCCAAGCCCAGCGTCTCCACTGCCATCAGCGCCGAAGACGAGGCGCCCGTGCCCAGCAACTCCAACCTTGGGGGCTCAGGGCTTCGGGCTTAGGGCTTAGGGTTGAGGGTTTAGGGTTTTGGGTTTAGGGTTTAGGGTTTAGGGTTTAGGGTTTAGGGTTTAGGGCTTAGGGCTTAGGGTTTAGGGTTTAGGGTTTAGGGTTTAGGGTTTAGGGTTTAGGGTTTAGGGTTTAGGGTTTAGGGTTTAGGGTTTAGGGTTTAGGGCTTTGGTTTGGGGATCTCGCCTGCCGGGTCGGGGGCATGAGGCCTGATCCAAACTCTGGAGGATGCCCTGAACTACGGGGAATCTGCGGGCCAGGGTCGGGAGCTCCTACAAACCGTAAGCCCGAAATACCTTAAACCCTAAAGCCTAAACCCTAAACCCTTAACCCCAAATCCCGGAGCCAGTCAAGTGGGTTTGTGGGCGTAAGACCTCTATGAACAGCTCAAACTGACCCCAGAACAGCGCTGCTGTCGGCAAAGTGGGCGGCTTCACTGTGTTGGCCCTGCTCCCGCCCTCCAGCTTGTCCTCGGAAGCTCTCTTCGGGTGAAGTTTAGGGTTTAGGGTTTAGGGTTTAGGGTCTAGGGACTAGGGTTTCCTGAGGGCATCTAAGGGCATCGGGCTTCGGGCTCGAAAGATGCAACTCAGAACAATCTGGGGGGGGCGCTGGTATTTTTCGGCCAAGTCTCCACGGCACGCAGCCGGTAGGCGATGAGGTTCGCCAGGGCTGTGCTGTTCGTATTGGAGCCGACCCTCAGGACAGCGGGGGCCACGTCTTCGGTCACAGGGAAGTCCCGGATGACGCGCAAGCGGCAACGGCCATCACGCTGCCGGGGCAAGATCTGGGCGGTGGCGCGGGCCTCCTTGGCATTGATGTACGCCAGGATGTACAAGGCCTTGCTCCGTGCTTTGGCTGACATCATCTTCATGTCTACGATGCGATGGTCGTCCTCAGCTAGTACTGCGGACATGTACCCCGCGACGGCTTTGACGTCGGTCTCGTCCGACACATTAAATGTCTCGAAAAGCATCGGCACAAGAGGAGGTCGCGGCTGCCTCCACCTGTGGCTTTTCACGGAGTCCTCGGTGGGCGCCTGCACGACCCGTCGGACGACAGCGGAATCCACGACAGGGCCGCTGCCCGTGGGCTGCAGGAAGCTCGGGGTCTGGCAGCTCCGCGCCACCGCCGCGGCCAGGCACACGAGGGCCCACTTCCCCCAGGGCGCTGGCGCCCGCGTGCGTGGGGCATCCATGTGACGGGCTCCGGGCATGACTGGCAGCCTACCCTCCGATACCAGGGCGTGTTTTTTTGTGGGGGGGGGGGGGGGGGGTATGTTCATGCAAAGGTAGAAACTCTTGGCTCGCATGGAGTGGGCAGTGAATGAAATCTCTGCGCGCAGGAGTCGAAAGCATCTGAATCTCACGTGCCCATGCAAGCCGCAAACTCCAACATGAAGCCTCCCACAACACAGAAAATGAGGAACCCCCCCCCCCCCCCCCCCGCCGCAGCTTGCTGCCTCCCACGTCTGGAGCGTCCATCACCTGGCTCTTGGTGGCGAAGCCGGGAGCAAAACCCATGCCTCTACATGAGTTGAGGAAAAAATCCGCCGAGGATTCGGGCCGAAGTCTGGGTTCTGAGAACAGGCACCCCCCTCCAAATCCTCCCAAGCCCAAAGCACCATGTTGGCCCCCTTTTTTAGCCTGAAATGGGTACCCCCTGTACTCGACCGGGATCTAAAAACGGAAGGCTTGCCTGATCAGGGAGCAGTTGGGCTCCCGCTATAGAATGTGACATTCCCACCCCACCCCACCCCACCCCACCCCACCGCCCACCCCCCACCCCCGACCCCCCGACCCCCCACCCCCCACCCCCCACCCCCCACCGCACAGGTGAAAGTTGAGGGTTTCGGGTTTCCTCACCTCAATTCTCACCCAAGCAGCTTGAGCCCTTTGTCTGCAAGCCCTTTCTCCGGGCTTTTCTTGCCCTGGCATGGGTACTTTTTTTAGGTGAGGAGAGCGACGGTGCAGGCCGCCTCCCCAGACCCCCCCCAACTTCCCCCGCCCCAGCGTCGGGCCCTTGCATTGGGCCAGGCCGAGGCGGGTCGCGTAGCGTTAAAATTATGGGCCATTTGGGTCAAGTTTTACAGTGGAGTCATTGTACGGCCCCGTTTCATCTTAAGATCCCCAGGACCTATGAGATTCTTAGGCAGCTTGCCCTACAATAAAAGCAAGGCTAAGGCTGTGTAATGTAGGGACTGCAACACTTCTCTCAGGGTCTTCGGCTTAGAACTTTGGGTCCGGGGGGTTCAAGCTTCTCTTCCATAAGCCCCCCCAACTCGGAGGGATGCGCCCTGAAATTTCCAACATAGGGTGAACCCCCGAATCGTCCTCCCGAAATACGATCGTCCTTGTTATACGAACCCCCAAGAAAAGGGGGTCCCTGTGTGTCGGAAGCCCCCAATCCGTCGGACCGGTGCATGTTTCTTGAACGACCTTTCGTAAAACATAGCATGTCCTTCTGACGCATCGACCGGAGCCTGAAGCCTGAACCCTATCCCAGCAAAGCAGTGGCCCCACTACAAGACTCGCGCGGAGGCCGCGAGAAGCTTGAGAATCCAACTGGGATCCGAGGTCCAGGGCTCCTAAACCCTAAACCCTGAAACCCTAAACCCTCAACCCTAAACCCTGAACCCTGAATCAGCAGTCTTGGCGGCCCTTGCCTCCACGCGCCGCCATGACCCGAAGCTGAGAGCCGAAACGGCTTGCAGACAGGAGGTGGCGACAGGGTTTAGGGCTTAGGGTTTAGGGTTTAGGGTTTAGGGTTTAGGGTTTAGGGTTTAATGCTTGAGGCTTAGGGCTTAGGGCTTCAGAGGCCCTTTAAACCCCAAGCCACGTCTAAGAGAGCACCAGCACGCGAAGATTCACGGGCCCAAGCAACCCGGAGCGCCTTCTCGGCCAGCTCCTGCACGGAGCTGTCATACAGGGGGCCTTAATAGTTAGAATAGGGCTTTTGGGGGGCTTATCGTTGTGTATATTTTTACAGGGCCAATAATGGAATAGGGTTTCGTACAAAGGGACCATAAGGGAATACTATTTAGTAATTATTCCGACCCCTATACTAAGCCCTGCATTCGACGAGCACTCCCAAATCCCGAGCAAGACGCCCCAAGACTTCGAAGACCGAAAGTACTGAACCAAAAGCCGGAACCCTGCACCCTACATGCTAAACTCGGCCCGAAACCCTAAACCCTAAACCCCAAACCCCAAACCCTAAACCCTAAACCCTAAACCCCAAACCCTAAACCCTAAACCCTTCCCCCAACCACCACGGGCGGGGTGCTCCTGCGCCTGGCACTCCAGGGCTGCCAGCTCCGCCGAGCCCAGCGGCATGCCGGCAGCAAGGGCATTGGCTGCTTCGGGGGTTTAGGGTTTAGGGTTTAGGGTTTAGGGTTTAGGGTTTAGGGTTTAGGGTTTAGGGTTTGGGGTTCAGGGTTTGAGGTTTAGGGTTTGGGGTTTGGGGGTTAGGGTTTAGGGGTTAGGGGGTTAGGGGTTAGGGGAGTGTTTAGGGTTTAGGGGTATCTGTTTAGGGGTTAGGGGTTTAGGGTTTAGGGTTTGAGACGCTGTTGGGATTAAAAGTTTGCTTTAGGGCTTTCGGGTTTGGGGATTTAGGGGCTGTTCAGGCTGCAGAAGTTAGATGTTCTGAGGGCTTGGATTTGAAGATGCTTAGTTGCCTACGTATTGAGGGGTCTAGCAATTCAGCTTTCAAGGAGTTCTAGTTTGGCCTGCGCGTTGGCCAGGTTTCGTTCCCAAAGGCCTAGATCATAGATCCTACTGCGCAACTTGACTTGCAGACATGGCGGCTTCAGGGATCGGCGGAGGTCTGAGCCACAACTGGGAATCTAGAGACCGGGAACCGGAAACCGAAAACCCGAACCCCCCAAGAGCCAACACTTTATACAGGAAGGGGCCCCATGATCAAGGTGGAAGGGGCTCAGAGTTTAGGGCTTCTTGGGTTTAGGGTTCAGGGTTGCGGGTTTAGGGTTGAGGGTTCTAGGTTTAGGGTTGAGGGTTTAGGGTTTCTAGGGTTTAGGGTTTAGGGTTTAGGGTTTGGGGTTTGGGGTTTAGGGTTTAGGGTTTCGGGTTTAGCGTTGGCCTGCAGGGTACAGGATGGTCGTGAGGTTTCGAGCTCAGGATTTAAGGCCCCTGAAACAAGGCGGGCACCTTCTGCCGCACTCCCGAAACCCTAAATGGGCGTTTCCGAAATTAGGGGGTGCTTTATAGGAGTCCTGATTATGAGGGGATACTAGTCGGGGGTTTATGTTAGGTGTCCCGTGTTTTTCGTAAACCCCCAAAATCCCTAAACACCTAAGCCTAAGCCCCTGACCCTACATCCCTAAAGCCCTGAACCCCGGCCAGTCCCTTCAGCCTCCGTGATCTTTCTGTATGGAGCCGATCTCCGAATGTGTCTGCTTAAGGTCTTAGGGTTTGGGGTGAGGTTTCGAGCGATCTTGAGCCCTAAAGCCCAACGCAGGAGCCGAAACCCAAAACAAAACCCCCCTTCTTTTCAAGAGGCTCTTGGGGAACACCCAAGCCGCAATTGTGCGTACGAAGGACACCCGGTACATCTGCTAGCTGCCAGCCTTCCATGGCTGTAGTCGTCACTGAAGTCCTGCTGGTCCATGGGTGCTGTGCGCCACATCAGAGAAGCCTCAAAAACCTCCTCAGGGGCCTCAAGGGTTTGGGGATTAAGGCTGCAGACCCTCAGGGTATTGAGGCAAGATTCTGGGAAGTTCTCTTTCACGTCAACTCAAAAGATGGTTGCACCCTCAAAACCAAAAAGGGGCCTCTCCGGGAGCCATGCCCGTTGTGCGAAGAGTGGGTCAGTGAAGGTCGACGCCGGCATGGTCAAGAATTACGGCCAGAAGGCTTGGCTGCGTGGGCCTAGGGAGCACCGATGCCTCACGCAGGCTTGCATTGGGCAGGCCAGTTCTGCACCGAATGATGGTATTTTTCGATAGTCTAAACAGCAAAGCTAAACGAGAAACTGCTCGACCAGGAGCTCTTGAACCCTAAACCCTAAACCCTAAACCCTAAACCCTAAGGCGATAGGACGATCTTGGCGGCGTTGGTCCGAACCTACTAATTGCTTAATGGGTTTAGGGTTCAGGGTTTAGGGTTTAGGGTGTAGGGTTTAGGGTTTAGGGTTTAGGGTTTAGGGTTTAGGGTTTAGGGTTTAGGGTTTAGGGTTTAGGGTTTAGGGTTTAGGGTTTAGGGTTTAGGGTTTAGGGTTTAGGGTTTAGGGTTTATGGTGTAGGGTTTAGGGTTTAGGGTTTAGGGTTTAGGGTTTAGGGTTTAGGGTTTAGGGTTTAGGGTTTAGGGTTTAGGGTTTAGGGTTTAGGGTTTAGGGTTTAGGGTTTAGGGTTTAGGGTTTAGGGTTTAGGGTTTAGGGTGTAGGGTTAGGGTTTAGGGTTTAGGGTTTAGGGTTTAGGGTTTAGGGTTTAGGGTTTAGGGTTTAGGGTTTAGGGTTTAGGGTTTAGGGTTTAGGGTTTAGGGTTTAGGGTTTAGGGTTTAGGGTTTAGGGTTTAGGGTTTAGACCCCGAACAAAAACTGTCTTCCTTATGAAGGGTAATATAGGGATTGTTGTTTTTTAATTCTTTTGGTGTTCTTAAGCAAATAGTAGAAAAAAGCCCTTTATTCAGGAGTTTCCGATTTTAGGGGAGCCTAAGGTGTTCAGGGATTGGGACAGCTTCGCCCCCAAGTTCTCTAGGCGGAAATGGTCCTCGCTTTCAGTTTCCGACTCCAGGCAATCCACCTGGACAGTGTTCTGAGGCGGGTTTAGGGTACAAGAATGTAGAATTTAGGGTGTAGGGTGCGCAGTTTGGGGTTTAGAGTGTAGGGTTTGGGGTGGAGGCAGAGGGTTGAGGGTTCAGGGCCCACAAGTCTTAAGGGTGGTTAGAGGGGTTGCCTAGGAGGGTTACCGGTAGGAAGTTGTGGGGCAGTACCCTCGCACCCCTGTAGGACCCTCTTAGTGATGACTTGGGGACGGGGGTTTAGGGTCCAGGGCTTCGGCGCGGTTGGAGGCCTAAAGCAGGCCGCGGCCATTAGGAAATGGAGCGATAAAGGTTATGGCCACCAGGGGCCACCCCAGATTCAAGACGTGGTATGTGTCAAAAGGGGGCTCAGATGTCGGGATCCCACCCAGAGTCCCGAATTAAGGGGTCTTGGGGTGCGACCCTAAGCCCTAAGCCCTAGGCCCTAAACCCTAAACCCT